TTTCATTGATCCTCAGATCTGTTGGTTTGCCAGTACCATGCTGTTTTTATCATAGTAGCTTTGCTGTATAATTTAAAGTTAAGAATTATAATACCCTGGCCTTGCCTGTGTTGCCCAGAATTGCCTTTGCTATTCTAGGTCTCTTCTGATTCTAAATGAGTTTTAGGATTGTTTTTTTCTAATTCTGTGAGATACACTGTTTGAATATGTTTGATTGGGATTACATTAAATCTGTATAACAATTTTTAAAGTATGTCCATTTTTACTATATTGGTTCTTTCTATCCAAGATTAAGGGATATCTTTCCATTTTCTGATAACATCTTCAGTTTTCTTTTTAAGAGTACTGTAGTGTTCAGTGTAGAGATCTTTTACTTCTTTCACTGGATTGATTCCTAGGTATTTCATTTTTTTTGGATGCTATTATGAGAAGGATTGTTTCTCTGATTTCTCTCTCTGATTTTATTTGTGTACAGAAAGGCTGTTGATTTTTGAGTGTTACTTTGTTTCCAGCTGTGCCGGACTTTGCTTATCAAATCTAGAAGTCTTGGTGGAGTTTTTGGAATCTTCTTTGTAGAGTATCGTGTCATCCACAAATAATAATAATCTAACTTCTTCCTTTCCTATTCTTATTCCATTAATTAACTAATTAATTAGTCTAATAGCTCTGGCTAGTGATTCTAGAAATATATTGAACAAGAGTGGAGACAGTGGACATCCTTGTCTTGTTCCTGATTTTAGAGTGAAAGCTTTCAGTTCTTATCCATTTAGTATGTTGTAGGCTTTTGGTTTGCTGTAGGTGGCTTTTATCAGATTGATGAAAAGACCATCTATACCAGTTTTCTGTAGAAGGGTTTTTATCATGAATAGGCGTTGAACCTTGTCAAACATTTTTTCTGTATCTATTGAGAGGATCATATAATTTTTGTTCTTGGCTCTGTTAATATACTGTATTACATTTATTGATTTGTGTATGTTAAACCATCCCTGCATTCCTGAGATGAATCCAACTTGGTCATGGTGTATAATCTTCGTGATGATTTGCTGCATTCTGTTTGCCAGTATTTTCTTGAGAATTTTGCATCTGTGTTCACTAGGAAGATTGGCCTGTCATTTTCCTTTTTGGTTGGATCTTTCTCTGATTTTGGAATTGGGGTAATGCTTCTTTCCAGGAATACATTTGGGAGTCTTGCTTCCCTTTCAATTTCATTAAAGAGTTTGAGAAGTAGCAGCATTAGGTCGTCTCTAAATTTCTTGTATGATTTAGCAGTGAATCCATCAGAGCCATTTATTGATAGGTTTCTGATTACATATTCCATTTCATTGGCTGATATTGATTTATTTAGTATTTCTGTATATCCTTGGTTCAGTTTTGATCATATGTATCTAGGAATCTGTCCATTACTTCTGTATTTTCCATGTTATTAGAATACAGGTTTTCAAAGTAGGTGTTGATGAGCTTCTAGATTTCTGGACAGGATCTCTTGTGATTTCACCCTTCTCATTCCTCATTGCATGGACTTGAGTCTTTTCTTTTTTTGTGAAGGTTGGCTAAGGGTTTGCCATTTTTATTTACTCTTTCAAAGAACCAACTCTTCAATTCATTGATTCTTTGTATTGTTTTTTTAGTCTCCATTGCATGAATTCCTGCTCTGATTTTTATAATTTTCTCCATCTTAGGAGCTTTGGGCTTGACTTGCTCTTCTTTTTGTAGAAGCTTGAGGTTCAACATTGGGTTGTTTATTTGTGCCTGCTCTGTTTTACTGATATGTGTATTCACTGCTGTAAATTTCCCTCATAAGACTGCTTTCATTGCTGGGTGTGGTGGCACATGCCTGTAATCCCAGCACTGAGGAGGCTGAGGCAGAAGGATTGCTGAGATCAAGACCAGTCTGGATTCCATGTCAGTCTCAACTACATAGTGAGACCCTGTCTCAAAAAACAAAACAAAACAAAACAAGACTGCTTTCATTGCAAATCACAAATTCTGGTATGTTTTGTTGTTATTATTGTTTAATTGTAGAAATTGTCTGATTTCTTCTTTAATTTTATCTGTGACCCATTGGTTGTTCAAGAGGGTATTATTTAATTTCCATGTATTTATGAAGTTTTTGTGGTTTCTTTTACAGTTGATTTCCAATTTTATTGCACTATGGTCTGATAATTTGCATGGGACAGCTTCATTTCCTTTGCAATTACTTAAGCATGCTCTGTGCACTGGTATATGGTATATTTTGGAGAATGTCCCATATACAGCTGAAAAGAATGTGTATCATCCGATGTTGTGGGGTTGAACAGTCTGTAGACAACTACATCATCCATTTGTTCGAAAGTTTGGTTCAGTTCTAATATTTCACTGTTCATTTTTTTGTCTAGTTGATCTATTTGTAACAGGGCATTGAGGTCTCCCATTGCAACTATATTAGCGCTTATATGATTTTTCATGTCCATTAATATTTCTTTTATATAGTTGGGTACATTGCATATACATTTGATTGTTATCTCTTCTTCTTGGGTTGTTCCCTTTACAAGGATGTAGCCACCCTCTTTGTCTCTCTGAATCAGTCTTGGCTTGAAATCCACTTTGTCTGCGAATAGAATAGCTACCCCTGCTTTTTTCCAGGTTCCTGTTGCATAAAATATTGTTTTCCATCCCTTGACTTTCAGTCTTACGAATTTGCTTTTTAATTAAATGTGTTTCTTGTATGCAGCATATTGTTGGATCTTGCTTCTTGATCCATACTTCCATTCTGTTTCTTTTGATTGGTGAATTAAGACCATTAACGATGATGGTTATATACATTGCAGTATTTCTGTCATGTTATTTTTCTGTTCTTGGCTTTCTTCTTTCCTTTTCTGTTTAATTTTTTGCCTTGCCTGGTGGTGGATTTATTCTGTTCAGATTCATGGAGTTGCAGTCCTTGTTTACTCTTTCTAGAATATCCTTCAGAATACAAGGTTTCTAGAATACCTTGAAGTACTGGATTGGTGGTCATGAATTTCTTCAGGTGTTCTTTGTCATGAAAGTATCTTATTTCTCCATCAATTTTGAAAGTTAGTTTTTTAGGGTACATCAGTCTGAATTGGAGCATGTTTTCCTTTAGGACTTGAAATACCTGACTCCAAGCTCCTTGAATTGAGAGTTTGTATTGAGAAATCTGCTGCTGTTCTGATTGGCTTTCATTTATAGGCAATTTGTTTCTTTTCTCTAACAGCCTTTAATATTCTGTCCTTGTGTTGAATTCTGGAATCTTGACTATTACATGCCTTGGGGAAGATTTTTTTTGTTTTGTTTTTGGTTTTGATCATGGCTAATTGGAGTACCATTTGCCTCATTTATCTGTATGTCAAATTCTTTTTCTCTGGGAAGTTTTCTGCCTTTACTTCTGAGAAGAGGTTTTGTATGTCATTTGTACTATGTCCCACCATGTTTTTGCAGGGGGAGTACTGGGGATTGAACTCTGTACCTGGCGCCTGCAAGGCAGAACCACTGAGCTAAATTCCTGGCCCTTTTTTTATAAATCCATATTTGCTCTTGAGTCACTAAACATGTCTTTCATTCTAGTCCCAGTTATCTGGGAAATTATTTCTGCTTTGAGTTTCTCCAGAGCCTCCTTTGTCTGCTTTGTTACTTCTGCTGTTACCACTTCAGAAAGTCCCTTTGGGTAGCTTTCAGATTGTTCCACCTCACTGCCCTTGGAGTTTGCTTTTGCTGAGCTGAAAGTCTGGGGAGGTTGCATCTTGTTTAAGTATCTTCTCATTTTCTTTTTTTTTTAACTTTGATTCCTGGGTTGATGCTTATGGTGAGTAGCTTTATTGCCAGTATTCAGAACCCTTAGGAAATGACTACTTAATCAGAAGTGTCTTCTAGGTGTACCTGGCTTTTGGGTTTTGAGTCTGTTGCAAGATCTTACCTCTTCTATTTATTGATGAGAATTTTCTGCCTATTTGGCCCAGCTGCCAGCTCTTTTGCACTGGCCTATAGGGTTGTTTCGTTTTGTTTTGTTTAAAGATCCTTCAGCAATCTCAGTCTGGATATACCTGGATGAACAACTGATTAGCACAATTATGTCACCTTGACTAAAGTAGTATAATCAGCAATAACAGTAGCTTCAGATACAGCCAGCTGCTGCTGTCTGGTGTGTCCACTGCTCTGTTCCATTGGTGTGTTTCTCCGTGGAGGTCTCTGGGCTCACCAGTCGTCACTGTGGGTCTGTAGGTCCTGCAAGTTTGGCCTGCTGTTCCCTTGCCAAGTGTCAAGGCTCTGGTAGAGAGCACTGCTTGCTACCTTCCCTCCTCTTTGTTAAAGTCTCTCTTTTCATTTTCCCCTGTGGATTTAAATTCTCAGCTTATATTCTTCCTGTGTCCATGGGTCCTGCTTCCCTCTTTCTTCTCCTTGTGCTGCTATATTCTAGTGTCAGGACACCAAATCTCCGAGAGGCTCTTTCTCTGCTGCTCACCACTCCGCCATCTTCCTGGAAGTTCCATAGCATTTTATGAAGTGGACCATCAATGCCATTATGGTCAGTGAGGTTATTTGAGGGTCTCAAAGACTTGTCAAATGCATGGCATATAATACCTCAATGAAATTGGAGTTTTTTTTTTTTTTTTTTGTCCTTTTAGGAATGTACTTTTAAAAAATTTCTGCTTTGAAGATTGTTACTGCATCTCTTAATCTCTTCATGTGAATGTGTATTTGTATGTATAAAGTACTATGTTATTATGTTACTGTTTTAAATTGTAGAACTGTGAAGTAATTTTATTAAAATTTCTTAAGAGGGAGAAAAATGTAATGGCCCTGTTTTGATTTTATAGTTTAGAAATGGATCATCAAGCAGTAGACATCTATTTGATTATGGTTGTATGTTACATTAAAATTTTAAATTCATTTTACTTTGGGTTTTGTGTTTTGAGTTTCATGAATTTTTTTTTCAATTCTCTTCTGTATTACATGCGGTCTTGTATCTCATTTATAATATTATTTTATCTCATGTTTTCCAGGTTGTGTGATAGCTGAACTTTTTACAGAAGGTGTACCATTGTTTGATCTCTCTCAACTTTTGGCTTATAGAAATGGACATTTTTTCCCTGAACAAGTGCTAAAAAAAATTGAAGATCTCAGTATCAGAGAATTGGTAACTATGCCACAAATGTTTGCTATGAAGTCTTAGGCTTTGTCCTCACTTTTATCAGTTTTATGGCATGCTTTATTTCGAACAAAGTAGTGAAGCACAATAGAATACAAAAAGCCTATTGTAATTTTGTTGAGGAGAAAGGTGTTATTTTTTTCTCTTAGGCACAGAGCTCATTTGAGTGAAAAAAAAAAAAAGCTGTTCTCTTCTTTTATAATCTTCAACGTCACCTTGGACAAATTTGGATGGATATCCCTGGGTTTTGGAGGCACTGTCCTACATAGAGCTAAGAAATGAAGACAGATACCTGAAATAAAAACTTCAGCTTCAGTCTAATATAGCAGCATAGGGCAATTCCGGAAGGGAAATGTAGATGGGTATTGCAGAACAGGTGTGGGGAATTTTGTGGGAGGTCACATAAGCCATGCATCTACATTACTGTTTGAGAGCATCTGTGTGAAGTTAGTCTTGTATAACTGATGCCTGTGATAATAACTGAATCATGTAAAAGATTATGGTATATTTAAATACTTCTTCATAAAGTAGGAAAATATAGAATATATTTTAATTTCTCAAAGATGGCAAATATTAAAAATTATATGCTTCAGGGGAAGACACTAGCTCATATCCAGGGAATAGTGCATGGGTTAGAAGTCAGTCACACCTGTTTTTGGGTGTGGTATTGTTTGTCATGTAAGTTTATGACTTTGGGCTTATCTGTTTACTGTGAAAGAGGGTAAATTTGTTCAGTCTTTAGGGCTTTAACCAAAGGTAAAAGTAATTCTCTTTGGTCACTTTTCCATATAGTACATTTGATTCTTCCAAGTTCTCTTGTTCTTATTTATACTATAAACAGAAAAGTCAATAACAAAATACGTTTTTGGGCCAGAGATTTAGCTCAGTGGTTCCACCACCTGCCATGCAAGCGCAAGGACCCAACTTTGATCCCCAATACAAAAAAACCCCCCAAAACAAACATTTTTATGATATTGTATATATTTACATAATAAACTATATTGAGCATTTTAAAAATTTATTGCTTTACCATACTAGAAAATTTAAGATAAATTCAAATTAAATGTATCATTTCTCGTGTTCACAGAATTTAATATTTCTTTTATATATTTTATTATTTATTTCTATTTTTTGTGGGCCTGAAGGTGGAATGCAGGGACTTGCACATGTTGGTCAAGTGCTGTCTCTGAGCTATATCCTTAACCCTATTTTATTTTATTTAATTAATTTATTTTTTGGTACCAGGGATTGAACTCAGGACTTGTGCTTGCGAGGTAGGTGGCAGCACTGCTGAGCTAAATCCCCAGCCTAGCCCTATTTTAAATATTTTTGGTGCAGAGGATTGAACCCCTAGCTAGTTGTATGCTAAACAAGTACTGTTCCATTTTACTATGCTGTAGCCCACCTTTTACATTATTTGAAAAGTTTAAATCACTGATTCATGTTTTGATTACCTCTTAGATCTGCACTTAAATTGTATGTCATTTTTTTGGATTTGTGGCAGTAAGGTTTTAAAGCAGCACTCTGAACTAGGGATATATAAACGGATTTCAGGAGTTATGATTACTTTCAGGATTGTATGTAGTTGTGTGCAAAAATTGTGCTTTTTTTGTACATTTTTTTTCTTGTACAAATATTGCACTTACACTTTTTTCTCTGGACGAGGTCCATTTCTTTCCTCAGATCCTCAGAGGTATCTCTCAGAAAAGTTTAAGAATCCTTGAGTTGTGGGCAGCAATATATTATTTCTCTGTCATAATAAATGGGAAATACTGAATAGTGTATAACTTCCTCTTTATGTGCCAGGTCTATCTGTAATTTCCTGTTGCTTTCTAGGATGATGGAGATGTGTATTATTTAGTATTTGAGTTCTAAAAGTAGTTTGTCAAGTGAGGATTGAGAATAGTCAAAATTATCTCAGAAATCCTTTTAATCACATGTAAATTGCCCTTGTAACTTTCATTTCCTGTTTTTAAATCTATTTTTATTACCTCTATCCCCTTTGTCTAGGTAACTCAGATGATTCATCGTGAGCCAGATAAACGTTTAGAGGCTGAAGATTACTTAAAGCAGCAGCGTGGCAATGCCTTCCCTGAAATATTTTACACTTTCCTTCAGCCTTACATGGCCCAGTTTGCCAAGGAAACATTTCTCTCTGCAGATGAGCGTATTCTGGTTATTCGGAAGGATTTGGGCAACATTATTCACAATCTTTGTGGGCATGATCTACCAGAAAAAGCAGAAGGAGAGCCTAAGGAAAATGGACTGGTTATCTTGGTGTCTGTTATAACGTCCTGCCTGCAGACCCTTAAGTACTGTGATTCCAAACTTGCTGCTTTGGAACTTATTCTCCATTTAGCCCCAAGATTAAGTGTGGAAATCCTTTTGGATCGTATTACTCCCTATCTTTTGCATTTCAGCAATGACTCTGTTCCTAGAGTGAGGGCTGAAGCCTTGAGAACATTGACCAAAGTTCTTGCCCTTGTCAAAGAGGTTCCTCGCAATGATATCAATATCTATCCAGAATACATTCTTCCAGGAATAGCCCATTTAGCCCAAGATGATGCTACTATCGTTAGGCTAGCCTATGCTGGTAAGCTTTTGTTGTCCAAGTCATAGCCATTCAAGTATTTTTAAAGTTGATGATGATAATACTCTTCTTTTTTTGACTTCTTTGGGAATTACAAGTATAAACTTTGCTCTTTGAACTGTTTGTGTATATTTTATGGCTGTTCTGTTCCTGAGACTCTAGATTTGGGTATTCTTTTATTTCTGGTCAGAATTACCAAGTGAGAAAACACAAGTTTTGTGCTTTTACTGAGAGTATTAATTTAATTTGGAATAAGACTGATGTTTATAATTATATGTTTCTCTGATCTACTATCTTTAGGCTTATACAAAGTTTCTTTGGACAAATACATTTGTTTGGCTCTTAGCTTTGGGATACGGTAGTCTATTGCTATTGAACAAGATGAATTTTGCTGAGTAATTTGATCTTGAAAGAACTTAGACCCTTAACTTTTTGATTTTAAGGTTCTTTCAGTTAATATTGTGGACATGTGGCTTATTTGTGAGTGTATTATACACACCTATCTGTTCTATGTGTAATTCTCATAAAATCAAACAATATAGTTTATTACTTTTAGCACCTGGAATTAATTCTAAATGCCCATTTTAACTTAGAAAATACCATTGAAATGTTTTCATAATTTGATAATTTATTTCTATAATACAGTCTTATGGAAATCAGAGCTCCTTTTTTGAAGTCTTTGTAAGTAATACATAGCATGTGTTTGGGGATGATATTGTCTCTTTTGAAAGGAGCTTGCTTAGTACATTTTATGATTTGCTGTCATTATTTTGATGGAACATGTGAATAGTGGTCTTTGACTGTAGTGTCATCTCTAGGCACGTCCACAGAGGAACTGGTGATGGTTGGATGTTGTTCTTGTTATATATACACACACACATAATATGTGTGTATATACGTATATATACTTTTGTATATATGTATATATATATTTGTGTGTGTATATATATTTGTATTTATCTCTCTGCCTTATGATACATTTGAGTTTATTATTTATGATAAGCATATTTCTAATTTACTTGGCAAATATAAATATCAAACCAGGTAAAGTCAAATTAAATAAAAGTTTATAAGTTTTTAAAAACAAGCTGTATCTTTCTTACTAGAGTTTTATGACCCTACTTTTAGCTTAGTGTATTTTCTGAGTTGTGTTAAATATGTAATGTTCCAATGTGTAGGTGCCATGTTAACATATGGTCATCCATTTACTAATATCTATAGCATAAAGAGTACTGTAATATCTACAAGTTATTGAAAAACACTGTGGGTATCAGAGTTTCTGCTATTCAGAGTTACTGCAAAGCTTAGTTGTGAGATTTTAGCAACTAACCCTTGCAACAATCTTAAGCAATAAATGTTACATTATCTTGATTTTAAAAGTTAAGAAAGGATAAATAACATTACCCAATTGCATCTGCTCTCATTCTCAGTTCTTAGAGCTTCAAAACCAATCCTACTTTTCTTTGGTCTTCTGGGTCTTTTTGATGAGTCCACAAAAACCCAGCGTCAGTGCCAGCATTTTGAAGTATTCCTTCATGGCCTGCTGTGTGATAAAGTAGCCTTTTAAAATAGAGCCACAAGTTGATTTGAACTTGGATAGTTAAGTATCATTAAACCACGCATAGAAGGAATTATAAAAGTTTAAAATCACCATTTTTTTCTTTACAATACTCTTTATTATTCCAGAGATAATGGTATAAATTCATACATTTTGTAAATTTAACTTTTAAGTATATTTGTTGCACTGGCTTAAATGGGGAAATAAGCATAGGTCTACTCAAAACTTAGAAGTGTCCAGGAAAGTAAGAGACTTCTGAAAAAAATAATAATTGGTCCTCCATAGCCATGGGTGCCACATCCTTGGATTTAATCAGTTGTGGAACAAAAGTACTTGGAAAAAAAACTTGTCTTTACTGAACATGGCCAGACTTTTCATTATTTCCTAATTATACAGTATTACAACTATTTATGTAGCATTGTATTAAGTATTATAAGTAATCTAGTGACGATTTAAAGTGTATGGAGGATGAGCATCTCATATACAAATATTGTGCCACTTTATATAAGGGACATGAACATCTACAAATTTGGGTATCTGAAAAGGGTTCTAGATCCATGGCATGAGAGAAGTTGTAGTCATTTAAGTGGTGATTGCATGTAGAATTTTGGCTTATCATCAGGTTATGGACTAGAAATTTTCCATTTTAAGAGTAAGCAAGCATTATATAGCATATTAATATCTTGCTTACTTGGAGATGTTTGTTCTGTTCAGAGCAGTTTGAACCTGGCAGCACTGGGCAGTAGGACCCAAGATGAAGGGAATCACTGTGTTTACTAGAATCAGATCCCAGTTAATGTAAGGTGCATTTTTATTTCAAAGATGTTAAAAAGTAGGGGAAAAGTGAGTCTTATTTTAATTTTGAAATATACTTTACGTTCAGTGTAATTCACTGCTAAGGAGAAAGGTATATGGTTTTTATGAGACATGCTGGGAGGCACAGAAGTGGGAAGGAGAGAAGGAAGTGTACAGACAACAGGAAACCATACAAGTGAAAAAATTATGAATAAGGTAGGAGCTGATGGGATTGCTGGTAAATGTAACAGCAGAAATTAGAAATAGATATTTGTAGTGGTGAGGAATATTAATAGATTTTCAGAGAAAGAAAATGTATAGACATCTATAGAAGAGTGGCAAACAGACTCACACTTTGGTCCACTAAGAACTTCAGGGAATCATTTGTAGGGTAATCTAACAATGTTTGATTCAGTTTGATAACTGCTCTTTGAGATAACTCTCCGTTTGTGTGTGAAGAAACTGAAACTCAGATTACTTAAAGCAGTAAGTTGCAGGGTTGAGATTTGAGATTTGAGCACCTGTCTGATTCCAGAGCCCAGCTGGATTGGTTGTTTTAATGTGAATGGTTCTGTTAGTCTAGTATCTCTCACTTGTAAAGTTGCTTTTTAAAGGTAGGTCTTTGTATAAGGAGTAAGCTTTTTTTTGGCCTCATTTGATTTGGGTGCTATATTTTGAATTATTTTTGCAGTTTTTTGAAAAGCAGTTTGGGGATAGTTATGAGATTAGCTACTAAAATTCTGATTGATAAATTGAAAAATCCATTTTTCCATAGTTTTATTATTTATATGTATAAAGACTGAGGGAGGAAAAATTGTAAGCATCACAATTATTTGAGATTATAATTATACATTTTCTCCTCTCTCCCCTTTTCTTATAGAAAACATAGCTCTACTGGCAGAAACAGCTCTGAGATTCCTGGAATTAGTACAGTTAAAAAATCTTAACATGGAAAATGACCCTAGTAGTGAAGAAATAGATGAAGTTACACATCCTAATGGAAATTATGACACAGGTTGTATAATTTCTTTTTAGTATTCTTATTACTTAGAATGAACTGCTAGTTTTGACTTGTAAAAATATCATTTGTAGTTTTCATGTAAGATAAAGGAACACCAGATATTTAGTTATTTAGATATCTGGTATTATTTTGTTCTTTCCATCTTCGTATATTATTGTCTAGCTAGAAAATAATCACTTTGTCACCATAGACCCAGAGTTAATTGTTTTTCAGCCAGAATTGATTTGCATGAACAGCAAAGTTTCTGAATTATATAATTCTCATAAAAATGAAAATTTAATGGCTAAAGAATCTAAACTTTTTTCCTTATGTGGATGTATTTTGAGGCTACTCAAATTCTTTATATTTATGCTGTCTTTGATTTGTATATCAAAACCCATTGCCTTTCCTCTAAAGGAACAAATAGGATACTAAACTTATTCAGGTCTCTGTCTTAGATTTTTTTTAATATCCATACACCTTTAACAAGCTTTTAGTTAATGTATGTTAAAAGATTTAGAAGTAAAAATATACTAGATTTGCTCCATGATGGTTCTAGAAGAGAAAAAGTAGAGAAATATAGTTTATAGATTTGTTTGTTATAGAAAACTGTAATTGGACCCTGTTTTTTTGTTACTTTCCACATTTGTTCAGCACATATAAAACCTTTTAAAATAACTAATTTATATATTAAAACTTCTGGGTAATTAAAGGCTTTCTTAATGTAAGCATATAATTTTGCATGGCAGACCAGACCCCTTTACATTTGACAGTAGTCAGATGGAGCAGTGTGACCTCTGCCTTCTTTCATTTAGTCAGCAGATAATTGTTAAATCTATGCTTTGCATCAGACAATTATGAATTTGCTTCAAGCACTTGTGATATGATGATGAATAAGATAGAATGAGCCATGCTCTTGAACTTGTATTATAGTGAGGGAAAGACAGACAACTAAATTGTAAGGGAGTAAGTGGGAAGGATTTAAGAGAAGGCTACCTGATCAAACCAAATCTTCCCAGAACTTGCAGTATATTTGATGGCTTTCTAAAATACAATAAACTAATCTTTAAAAATACTTCCTAATATATTGTTCAGTACCATCATATTATATCCTGGACCTATCTTATATTTTAAAGTCCTTGGTTAAGTTGATCTTTTGGGGATAGAGTGATCTCCTTTCTTGTGTGTCTCACCACTTTTCTTCTTGAGCTCATAGATGGAGTTATTTAATTAGTGAGATCGTAACCCTGCTTAAGGCTTCTGCATGGTGGGGTATTCTTCAGTTTGTTTCATTTTCGCATCCTTCAGCCTGTGAAATAGTGGAAAAGCTTAGCAGTTATATACTTTATATGGCAGTTTCTGTGGTCAGTTTGTTATTCCAATTAGTAAAAGATTATGTATAGGGAAAAAATTTATCCTAGCTTTTTTTTTTTTTGGTAGAACTCCAAGCCTTACATGAAATGGTCCAGCAGAAAGTTGTCACTTTGTTAAGTGATCCTGAAAATATTGTGAAACAGACTTTAATGGAAAATGGAATAACACGGCTATGTGTATTCTTCGGACGTCAGAAAGCCAATGACGTTTTGTTGTCTCACATGATCACTTTCTTAAATGACAAGAATGACTGGCATCTGCGTGGAGCCTTCTTTGACAGTATAGTTGGTATGTCTTTGTTTTTAAGTTCATATCTAAGATTATAAACTACTCTGTCAAATAATTTCATTCAATCTGAAAGGATTGGTAATGACATTACTAAATTTAATTAATAATGAAATGAGCTCTTAGTATTTCTGTGAGTCTGCTCTTTTGGGATGATGTACTTTAGCTAGTTGAGGGGCTGGTAATTAACCTATGGCACATCTGTATGAAGGCATAGCATGTGATCACTTGAAGCTGTGTTTCAAGAGAATTGTGACCAGGGAAAGTACCATGAAGTATTGTTAAAGTGATTGACATGGGTCTACTTAAAATGTGATCCCAGTTGGGTAAAGCTAAAAATAGCATATGTTTATTAAAAAGGCTAGAATATACTAAAGTATAAATAATGGTTATCTTAGGCTGAGACTAGTAATTACTTTCTTTATTTTCCATATTTATCAGATTTTTCTGCAATGGACATGCATTACTTTTAGAATTTTAGTTAAAATATAAATAGGTTAAAAATAAATCTCTTACAATTTACGGACTTTTTTCTGTAAACTGAAAATTTGTGAAAAATTAAGCAGCTTTGCTTTCTTTCATTTTGTATTTTTCATTTGCAGATTTAAAGATGTCTTATCTGCATGCTCTTATTACAGTAAGATTTAAAATTGTAAATGAAGTAGACTTTGAGTGGGTTAAATCATGTTTGATATAGGATTTAATGCTTTTCTCTTTTGAATGATAACTCATCTCTTTTTTCCTGAATGTTTGAATCTTTCCAATTTATGTTAGATCAGCTTCGAATTATTGTATGCTAAAATCATGTTACCATGCGTATTCATTAACTATTATTTCCCAAATTACTGTAACAACTTGTCTATTGCCCCTAAAAGATTTAAAGAGTATTTTACATATTAGAAATTGGGGCTGTTATCCAAACTTGGTAAGGTGGTAACAGAAAGCTGTAAAACTTTAAAGTTTGGTTTCCAGTGATCTAGCACTATGAGGTTTGCTGTTGGATTTTTTTCTAAAAAAGTAAAAAATGTAAGAAACCTGTATGGCAAGAGGATTGATGTTTCTGTAAATACTATCATATAATTTTAGAGAAAAGGATACTTTTCACTTTGAAAATCTTTGATATTGCTTCCTTTTTCAGACATCTTTGGTTTGCTTTTATTTTTGCATTAGTTTATTGATGCATTCATCTGCTTTCTAGTACTCCATCAGTTCCTGAATACAGTATAATTGGGGGGGGTACCAGGGATCGAACTCAGAACCTTGCATTTGCAAGGCAGGTGCGGTGCCACTGAGCTAAATCCCCAGCCCTGAATACAGTATAATTTGTTTCTCATATCTTTTTGCCTTGCTTTCTTCTTTCCCTTCCAAATGATCTTAAATCTTCTCCTGGGTAATTAACTAGTCTGTAGAATTTCTCTCATCTATTGGTCAGTGTTTTGAAAAATATATATATTTTATCTTTTTCTTTTAGAAGTAATTTTCATTCTTTAAATAAAAGTAATACATACAACTGTAGAACATTTGGAGTACAAAAACCAAGAAGAAAACAAAATAACTTTAATCTTTCAGTCTGTGTACATCCTCTATTAATGTTTAGCCTTTTTTTTCCAAATGTCTTCCTTTGTCTTTCCATTCCATCTGTCACCTTCTGTTAAATACTAATGGTCAAGAACAGCTACTTTGGCACCAAACTATTGGGTTCAAGTTCTTGTTTGGTCACTTACAAGTTGTAGTTCTTGGGAAAATCATTTAATCTTTTTGTGCCTTGATTTTCCTATGTGTAAAATGGGAATACAGTACTTGGCTCATTGGTCATTGTGAAGAAAAATTAAATTAACAAATGTAATATGCCAGACAAAGAGGTGTTATGTATAATAGTCTTACTCTTAAATTTTTTATACTTTTTTGTAATAACATATTTTAATCATTTTCTATTATCATTGACATTTTGAAATCATAATTTAATAGATCCAAATTATTCCATTACACAGTTTTACCTAAATTCATTTTATATTTGGATATTTAAATTATTTTTATCTTAAAATAATTATGCAGATAATGTTATACATGTTTATTTAAATAAAATACCTAGCTATTTAAGAATAGTTTTGTGCTGCTTAGTAATGGATATGCATTCTGGGAAGTGTTACTTCTCCTAAAAATTATCTCTGCATTGTTCAAGTGAAGTTGTTTTTCACAGACTAGAGTGACTATGTCACACGGCGTTACTGCTTGTGCCACCACTGTTGCATATGGTGTAGCTGTTGACCAAAACATTGTTATTCAGTGCATGACTATATTTGTCTTGAATTATTTTCTCAGGATAGAAGTATGGTATTTAAATTAGTGAGTTAAAGAATATGAATATATTTCTTAAAACCTGTCATATTTTTATAAATTTTTAAAAGGTTAGGTTCTTTTCCACTCCCATTAGTATTGAATTCCTGCACATGGTTTTACTTAGTTTTTGTTCATTGGAAAGGTAGAATGATAATTTGTTTTCATTTATATTTCTTTGCTTATCTATCAAGTTGAAAACTTTTTCCATTTTACTTATTTGTGTTTATTTTATGAATTTATTTTGTTCCTTTTTATTCTTGTTGAATTTTTTAGTCTTTTAACTGTAAAGAACATTAACTTATGTTAAAGTTACTTTCTCAGTTTAACTTGATTTTAAATTTTTACATATTTTCTTAAACTTTTTAACTTATTTATCTTCTTTAAAGTTTCTTTTTTACTTTTGTGCTTGAAGTTTTTTCCATTCCAGAATTAGATTAACTTGTTGCATGCTTTTCTTCTTTTTTAAATGCTTTATTTTATAAACTTATCTGTTGAATTGATCTTATGGAGTGCCATGGTATATGGTGAAATCTGAATTTTATTTTCTTCTCAGAAATGTAGACAGTTTCCCCAACAGTATTTATTAAACATTTCATTTCTTACCCATTCATTGGTGAAACTTTATCGTTCCTTGAATGCCTCTGTCAGGGTCAGTTTTCTGAGTATCTAGTATTCCATTTATTTCTCTATTCTTGTACTTACATGATACTCCTGCCCGTATTATATTTATATTACTATAGATTTTAATCAACTTTAGTGTCTGTAGAGTGAATTTCTAGAGATCACTCTTTATTTTCAAAGTATTTTTAGTTATTTAACATCCTTGTACATTCCAGTTTGTACACTTTATAAATATATAACCCACTGGAATTTCAGATCCTGGAATTATTTTTTAATCAAAAGGGAGATTACTTTTATAAATTATTTAGAATTTATAAATAAATTAGGAAAGTAAATAGTTGGCATTCCCAGAGGCAACCACTCAGGTTTGTTTTGAGGTTAGTGTCTTCAAGTGATCATTACCAATAGTATTATTTTTATTATCAACTTTAGATGCTATCTGTTGAATGTTTTTCTACACCAGATGAAGATTTAACTAACTTGTGGTTACAATGCTTTGATTACTCTTCCTTTGTCAGTTTTAGAAATGTTGATCACTATTTCTCAGGGTGCTTCAGACTTCAGTGTGTTGTTTTTGTAAGTAAATTATTCAACCTTTATTGTATTGCCTTACTTTTCAATTTGCAGTACAGAAATTAATGCCCCTTCCTTTCTTTCTATCTCTGATTTTCGACTTGTTGAATTCTCAACTAACAATTTTATTGTCATAGTAAATGATATTTACTTTGTTTTGTAGTCACAATATAATCTTTTGTGCTTTGTGTAAATATCTGGAATCTAAAGATTCAGAGGAAAATTTACATGATTACAAATCTATAAATTTTATTGAAGATGGAGCCAAGTAGTATATTGTAATTGTATTTACCTCAACACAGTTCTAGTTCCATGAATCCTCTGCCACTTCTGAGTGTGTGTAGCAACATGTGTATAGCAACTTGAGATTTCTGTTTCCCTATTTCAGTGACTAAGGATGTTCCACATTTTAATGTAGAAGAAAAACAAAATCTACCTTCTTTACCATATCTATATTTATCCTCTTAACAATTTTATTTGTTGCTTGGCATCCATTCTTGCTTTCTTTTTCATGACATTCTTAAAATTCATTGGGTTTTGGTTTAATTTGGGCTAATTTCTAGATCTTTGTTAGCTGTCATCTTCTTGTCCCCTTGAATCCTAGGTTAGAACTACCATTTTGTACATTCTACATTTCCCTCTTTATTCTGCTGGAGTGCATCATCAAGAAACTTTCTTAGGAAGTGTTGCATGAGCGGTAAACCTCTTAGTCTTTGCATGTCTTGAAATGATATATTTTTGGTTTCTTTTTAATTGACAGTTTAAGTGAAAGAAATTGTAGAATTTCTTTATAACTTTAAAGGTCTTGCTCTGTTGTGTTCTAGCCTCCATTGTTGAGGATCACCTGGTACAAGTCTGATTCTTTTTCCTTTTTAGGAGCCTGTGTTTTTTCTTTTCTGTAAGTTCTTAGGATCTTTGATTTTTCTTGGTATCCCAGAATATCTGGATAGTTTGCTTTGGTATAGCTCTGCATTTATTTTGCTGGGTAGAAATAGCAGTATTTTTTCCTGGGTTGTTGATCACTGTATTTGGCTTTTGATTAATTTTAATGTTTTACGTAATTACAGTGTGTACTTTCAGGTACCAAGTGATTATAATATTTCATTTTCAGGTGTTGCTGCCTATGTTGGCTGGCAAAGCTCCTCAATTCTCAAGCCCTTGTTGCAACAAGGTCTTAGTGATGCCGAAGAATTTGTTATTGTGAAAGCTCTTAATGCCCTTACCTGCATGTGCCAATTAGGGCTGTTACAAAAACCCCATGTCTATGAATTTGCCAGTGACATTGGTAAGTTTCTGTTTTGAAAATTTAAAAGGGAAAAACTATCCTGTAGGAATAATTTCATAAAAATTTTAAGTAATACAGTACAATAATTGCAACTGTATCATTTCATCTGTTATGTGTGCGTGTGCATTTGTGGATATACTTAGATGCATGTTTGTATGTAGGTAAAAGACTGACTGACTTACTCAGTCCTCTAGTCCTGGTTGAGAAATATGGCGTTGTTCTCACCCATTGTTAAATGTTTGTGGTTCTTGATTTAAAAACTCTTTTAAAAAATACGATTGGATAAAAATCTTGACTTTTAAAAAAATATAATGTGGAAATCAAAAATGGGTCAGTATTGTAAGAAAACAGGTTATTAATAGTTTTAACAGTTCTGGCCCTTCATAGTGTAAAGCAGATATAGAAAGAAGAAAATATTTTCTCTCACATGCACAGTTTGGTGCCTCATTTGTTTTTCTATTCTCTTTTTCTCTATTCTCAAGTCACTGTTTTCTTTTTCTCCTTTTAAAGTGGCCCTTCCTGCCAAAGGTTAACTTTTTCTTGCTGTTGTCTCTGATACTCTTCATTTTAATGAATATCTTGTGTATATAACCATGTCCTCATAAATTACACATAATACATTTCTTTTTTATTCAGTTTTTAAATTGACATAATTATATATATTTTTGGGGTACAGTAATACTTTAGTCAATGTAAAATGGTCAGATCAGCATAATTGGCATATCCATTACATTTCTTCTGTTGCCTAATATTTTTGAGGTTTAGTATAGCTTATAGTTAATGTAAAATTTTATTTATCTGAAAACTAGGTATCTATCAGTTTTAAAGCAAAGTCATCATAGTTTTTTACTTCAGCACTGTTTGTAGAGATTTTTCTTCGGAGAGTTTGCCCTCCTGCTTCTAGTTATCAGTGCCAAAATAAATAGGAGGTATTCATTAATCTGTAGTGTCAAAAATTATGTGGATGTGCAGAATATGCCCAGTGTGGCACAACTTCTTAAATGGAAACTCTCTTAGAACTTGCACTGAATTTGATAACAGATTTACAAAAAAAAAAAATCATGTTTACAAAATCTAGCAAACAATTGTTTGTTGACATATTAAACTTTTTAAAGTAAAAGTAGATTTTAGAAACTTAGAAATACTTAAATGATAAACCATATACATCTCTATTTTGTCTTTATGTGTAGTCCTTCTTTGTGATTCTCCCCGCACTAACTTTATTAAGGTATGATTGACAAAGATTGTATATATTTATAGCATAGAACATGATGTTTGATATATGTACATTCTTTTAATGTGGTGTATCACATTTACTGCTTTGCATTGTGTTGAAACACCTTGCTTCCCAGGGATAAATCCTATTTGATTATGGAGTATGATCCTTTAATGTTGCTCAATTTACTTTGCTAGCACTGTATTTTGTTTAGGATTTTTGCTCATGTATTCATCAGGGATATTGGCCTATAGCAATAGTAACAAACTTAGGGCACACATTTTACTGTATTTTTAAGACAAAAGATGTTAATGTAAAATTGTTTTTTCTAAACTAAAACTTTAATATTCAGGTTTAATTGCACTGTTGGCACTTTGCAGTAAGTGGGTTTGGGGTTGCAGTTTGGCACATCACTAGCCTCTAGCTTTCTTCTAGTGTCCTTTCTGGCTTTGGTGTCAAGATAATGCAAGTTTATAAAATAGATTTGGAAATGGGTTCCCTTTGCTTCAGTTTTTGAAAAATTTTGAGGATTTCATTACTTTTCCCTTGAATTTTGGTAAAATTTAACAGTGAATCCATCAGGCATTGGGCTTTTCTTTGTTGAATATATTTTTTTAATTTTTTATTTAATCCACATACATAATGGTTTATTCAGATTTTCTGTTTCTTCATAATTCAGTTGTAGTAGGTTATATGTTTCTAGGAATTTTTCTACTTTTTGCTAGGCTGTCCAATTTGTTGGTTATAATTGTTTATAGTGTTGCTGGAATGAGGGACCTGGACAAATACCTCATAGGTTCTTGGTATTCTGAACAAATAATTGGACAAAGCACCCAGAAAAGGTAGCGATGATGCACATATAATCAAAGATGGAAGAGGCGTTTGCTTTCGGAGCAGGGAACTAAACAGACTCACAGCAGCAATAAGGACAGGGAAAGGGGTCTTTTATATCTGGAATTTTTGGATTGGCTTCTTCTTGATGCAAGAAGACATTGGGATGGTCATCCTATCAAAACTCACTTGGCCTGCTGCCAGATTTAAACTGTCCTATCAAATACTTGTTTCTCACCAGATGTAAATGAAGAATTGAAAATAGCACTTTCTGCTTAGTTCCTTCTTTATAGTGCTCAGGAGCTACAGAGTTATCCTGGATTCTGTCCATGTGCCTTGGGTCTGCATTGATTTTGACAGATTTTGCTCAGTTTGACCAGTTTTGCCCTAGCCGTAATCTTCTACCTTAGTAGGAATCTCTTCCTAGCTTTGTATTTTTGTGATAATGGTTATGTCTCCTCTTAATTATATTTTTATTTGAATATTCTCTCTCTTCCCCCTTTGTCTTGCTAAAGGTTTATTGATTTTATCTTTTCAGAAAACCAACTTAGTTTTACCAGTCTTTTCTATTTTTTTCTAGTGTACGTTTCATTTATTTCTCTTATCTTTATTACTTTCTTCCAAACACATGGGGCTTGGCTTGTTCTTTTTCTTGTTTCTTGAGGTATAAAGTTATATTGTTTGTTTGAGATCTGTTTTCTTCATGTAGGCATTTATTGCTGTAGGCTTTCCTCTTAGAGCTGCTTTCATAGCATTCTGTAAGTTTTGGTCTGTTGTGCTTCTACTTTCATTTGTCTGAAGATGCTTTGGTTCACACTTTTGATTTCTTCTTTAACTCAGGTGTGATCACATATTTGCGAGTTTTCCACTTTTCCTAAGAAGTGATTAACTAGATCATATGGTAGATCTATTTTCAGTTTGTTTGTTTGTTTTTTGGTGTGTTTTTTGTTTGTTTTCTGTCCTGGAAGTGGGTATTGAAGCCAGGGCCTTTGGGCTGAGCTACATCCCTAGTCCTTTATTTTTATACAGGGACTAGCTAAGTCACTGAGTTGCCCATGGTGGACTTGAGTTTATCATGCTTCTGCCTCATCATCCCAGAGTGTTGGGATTATAGTACTGCCACCCCTGGCTATTTTTAGTTTTTGATGACCTGCCAAACTATCCTTTATAATGATTGTACTAATTTACATTCACTAGCATTATGTGAGAGTTCTTTTTCTCTGAATGCTCATTGACACTTATTATATTTGGCTTTTCTGATAATAGTCATTCTGACTAGGGTAAGATGATAGATCTCACTGTGGTTGTATTTCAATCTACTCTAGGGCCAGTGATTTTTGAGCATGTTTTTCATGTACTTCCTGGCTGTTTGTATTTCTTCTTTTGAGAAATAGCTATTCAGATTGTTCATTTCTAAATTGAATTACATAGTCTTGTGTTAAGTTTTTTAGTTTCTTATACATTTTGGATATTTTTTGTTAGATGAATTGTTGGGAGATATTTTTATCTTTTTTATTGTTTCTTTGTTCTTTTGGTGTTTCTTTTGTTCTGTTGATGTAATCCCATTGACCATTTGTCTTTTTGGTTCCTGTATTATTGGAGTTTTATCTAAAAAATAATTTTGTAGCCTTATGTTTCAGCTTATGTGTGTCCATAAAGCTAAACTCCCAAAGTACAGGGACATGTAGTTAGAATTAGTTGGATCTTTAAAAATTTTTATTCAGCCATTTTTCTCTTTTATTGCAAAATTAAATACATTTGCATTTAATTAGTGATTAGTAACGACTTAAAATTGCCATTTTGCCAATTGTTTTGTTTTGTAATTAATTATTTTATATAATTCTTCCTTTCTTGCTATTTCCTTTATAATTTAATTTTTTTGTGTGTGGTGCTAAGCTTTGACTTCTTTCTATATTTTTTATATTATTGCAAGTTTTTTTTTGTGGTTACCATAGGAGTATATTGTCATAGTGACAACTTGGTATTTTAAGTTGATAAGAATTTACCTTTGACCTCATACAAAAACTATACTTTCACCTCCTTCTGTTGCACTTTACGTTATTTATATATTTTATAAATTGAGCATCCATTAGCAAATTATGTAGCCGGTAATTATTTTAAATATTTTTCTTCTTTCACTTTCATGGAGTTAAAAGCTATTTACCCACCACTATTACAATATTAGCATATTCTGAATTTGACGGTATTCTTACCTCTGCAGTGAATTTTTTTCTTTCATATGTTTTCATGTTAGCCTTCTTTTGTTTCAACTTGAAGAATTCTCTTCAGCATCTTTTGTTGGGCAGGTCTAGTGGTGATGAGCTCTTTTTGTTTTTGTTTTTTTTTTAACTTGGACAGTCTTTGTGTCTTGCTTATTTTTGAAGAACAATCTAATTGGATGTAATAATTTTAAGTTCTTTTGTTTTATTTATTTTTTCCTTTCACTACTTTATATCACGCCACCCTCTCCTGTTCTGCTTATAAAACCACTGCTAGTCCTGTGGAGATTCCTTGCATGTTAAAAGTTGCTTATCTATTACCACCTTCAGAATTGTTTTTGCATTTTTGAGAGTGTGATTATAATTTGTTATGGTGAAAATATCTTTATAATCTGTTTGGAGTTCTTTGGGCTTTGTGGCTATGGATATTCATTTCCTCCACATTGGGGTAGTTTTCTGTTTATTTCTTTTTCTTGGTACTGGGTATCAAACTCAGGCCCTTGTGCTTGTGAAGCAGGTGGCAGAAGCTCTGAGCCAAATCCCCGGCCTTTTTTTTTTTTTTTTTGAGACAAGGTCTTCCTGTATATTTCAGGCTGGCCTTGAACTTAACATGTAGACTAGGCTGGTCTTGAACTCATGGCGATCCTCTTGCTTTAGCCTCCTGAATGCTGAGATTACAAGTGTGTGCCACCATGCCTAGCCTGTCATTTCTTTATATTCAACTTTCTGCTGTTTTCCCTCACTCTCTATTCTTTCTGAAACTCCAGCAATGAATATCGTGGTTCATATCATGATATTGCATAAATCACATAAGCTTTATTCACTGTTTTTCATTTTTTTTCTTTTCTCTGTGTAATTTCAAGTGACCTACTTTAGAGCTACTTTTTTGCCCTGTAGAGTTTGCTGTTGGAAATTCTTCATAGAGTTTTTTAGTTCAATCAATATGTTCTCTCTGTGGGTTTTTTTTTTTAATATGGTTTCTATTTCTTTGTTCATGTATAGTTTTCTTGTTTTTATATGGTTGTCTGTGTTCTCTTGTAACTGTGGATTTTAAGACTGTTACTTAGTTTTGTCAGGTGGTTTGTAAATCTCCATTTGTTTAGATTCTATTACTGGTGGTTTATTTTCTTCTTCTGGTAATGTGATATTACCCTGATTAACTGTGTTCTTTGTGGCCTTGTATTGGTGTCTGTGCACTTAAGTAGACCAGTAGTAAAAGCCCTCAGCAGTCATTTTGTCCAGAGATTTTGGGTGAGCGGTCTAGTGGCATCTGCATGTGGTGGGCTTGCTGCTAGAATTCATGGGTAGTCTGTCTTGGTGTATGGGACAGGGCTCTGGTGGGCCCAGAACCTAGATCCATAGGACCTGGTCTACCCGTGTCCACTGAGTTGGGCATCAAGCCTGGGTCCTTATATCTGGGTCTAGACTTGAATGGGACTAGATTCTCCATTCTCTAGGGTTTTGGTACCAGAGTTCACTGGTATGGGTCTGTTGACTTGGTCTATGAGGATGAACCAAGAGGCTGAGTGGGATGGGCCTCTAGCCTTTGTGGAAGCTGAAAACTTGTATGGGAACTGACTTGGTGCTGGGGTAGACATTGAACCTGCATCTGTGGGGACCTGCTTAGCTTTCGGTGATGCCTGGATCCTAGCACATGGGGACGAGCCTGGTCCTAAGTCTATTGATGCTGGGGTCTTCTGAGGCAGGACTGGTTCTTGAGTCCAAGGGAGTGGACCAATTGCTATGGGTATGGATATAGGCCTGGAGCTTGAGTCTCTAGTCCACATAGGCTGGGTTTCAGACTATACTCTCTCCCATTCTGTCTCTGTCTCCTCTTTGTCTCTCTGTCTCTCTGTCTTTCCTGCATTGTAGACAAGCAGTTTATACCCTCTAAATATCTCACATATGGGGATCATTTAAACATTAGTTTTGATGATGGCATTTGAGCCATGATTCTGCTTTTCACTTGAGTGGTCCTGATGCTGTGAACAGTGGCAAGGTTGAATAGGGCTCACTTAATGCTCTTCCTGCCTAGAAGGAATTACTTCATGCTGTTCTTCCTGGACTTAGAATAGAGTAGACATGGGTATTGTGAGCCTGTCCTTTCTACTCTCTTCAGAGCATCTTTCCTTATTTTTGTACTAGACCCAGGTGCTGTAATCTCTCACCTGGACTACTTTGACCTTGTGATGCTCTTTGCATGTATGGATGGTTGTTAAAATAGATTTTTCTGTGAGGATGTGTTTGAAGTGTTCTATTGTACCATTTTACATCATTATCTATTAGGGTTCTTAAAAGGTTTAGTGGTAGTTTTTTGATGACTATCATGATTTCTTTGGCAGTTGCTTTGTGGTTTTAAAAATGACATGATTCTTATTTCAATATTATAAATACACAACTTTTGCCTATGTGTCTCCAGAGAATTGAAATATATTGGATAGAAGAAAGATTGATTTTATAAGAAATTCTTTTGATTCAGGATTGTTTTTTAAGTATTTGACATGCTTTCTATCACTGAGCTAATCAGCAATATTATTATTATCATCATCACTTTTTTTTTTTTTTTTTACGGGGCTGTTATCATCACTTTTTTTTTTTTTTTTTAAACGGGGATTGAACTCAGGGCCTTGTGTTTGCAAGGCAGCAGGTGACACCACTGGGCTAAATCCCTAGGCCTAACCATCGATATTATAATGCTTTATATTAGTCAACTGAAAAATCTCAGTCAATACTTAAAAGAAATTTCTTACGTGTTTGTGGGCCATCCCTCAGATTGTATTTGGTAAGGGTGATCCATCTGTTTCATTCTGGGTCGCTAGTTGTAGTGGCCATGGCTGCACAGGTTATGGTCTCATGATGATAGCAGGAGCATGAGAGGGAAAGTCTATCTATACATGTTTCAAGTTTCCCTTTATGTGACCTTTGTTGACATCCCTTTACCAAAGCAAAGCAATAAAAGGGTTAAGCTGAAAGCAAGAGGTCAAGAGGCACACTTGTGTATCTTGAGCGCACTCGAAGTGTGTAAGTATGGTTGTGTAATACAGGGAAGTTAAGAGTTGGTACCATAACTCAGTATACCATGGTGCCCAACTCCCTTTTTACCATTATGATTTTAGCTACTTGCTGGAGCTTCTCAGTGTTCTTCTGGTTCTCATTTTCCAGCTTTATGTCAGAAGGAAAATACTACCTCACCCTTCCTAGATGGATCAGAAGATACAGGTTGTTCATGAGAAAATCACAGTCTTTGTATATATGAGAAGAACTAGAGATAATTCTAATGAATCTTTTCTTTTTTGTCTTTTTATATCAGTATTATTAGCATATGGTGCTGTTTTTATTTTTTAACATGAATTTTTTATGAAATAAATATCCTGTGGATGCTGATATCTTTGCATATTCAAAGCTAATATAATTCTTTTGCTCTTAGAAATTTGAATTATATTCTAAATCACGTTAGTCTAATTTTGATTAGTTAAAATCATTGATTTAGGTTTAATCCATAAAATTGATTAAAAGGCATGTAAAGATGGGCTGGTGATTTAGCTCAGTGGTTGGGTGGCCTGCCTTGCAAGCTCAAGGACCCAAGTTCAATCCCCAGTACCAAAAAAAAAAAAAAAAGGCATGTAAAGTACTTGATATTTCATCTTAGTCTTATATTTTGAACTTTTTAAAGAATAGGCTTGGTGCTTTATACCTTCATAGTTTTCATTTATAATGTCTTGTGGATGAAATTAGGAATTATGTGTTAGATTTGGTCAAGCCTCCAGCATTAAAAAGAATGTTAGAGCGATGAAATTGATCTCTTAAATGCTGTGGCTTGGAGAAGAACTTTCTCTTTGGTTCTCTTTCCCCATGTGGGAGATATTGTGTCCTTAATCTTTTATGAAGCTGTTAGTGGAGGAACCATATTTTACTGTATATTGTCCGGATTTTTTGTGTCTCTGTTGGTTTTTTCTTTCCCTTCCTTCATTACTCCCTCCCTATGGATTGAGCCCAGGGCCTTCATATGTGAGCTATATCCCAAGGTCTCACTAAGTTGCCCAAGTTGGGTTTGAACTTTAAGTCCTCCTGCCTCAGCCTCCCAGAGTACTGGGATTACAGGTGTGTGCCACCATGCCTTGCTGTCCAGTTTTTTATCCCAGGATTATGTGAGTAGATACTCATATATCTTTAGTTCTTGCCCAAAAATAGATATTTAAAATTGTCAGAAAGGAAGTGCCCATTTTTGTTGTTGTTTTGTTTTGTTTTGTTTTATGATATAGCTCATATCTGTAATAAGGGAATATTGTAACTGTGCTCATTTGGTTGAGTTTATTCCTCACGCTGTGTATTCTGTTGGTTAAATATGTGAAGGAACTTTATAATGATATTGATACCACCTCTTTATCAAATATATTATAAGGTGAGATCTTGTCCTGATAATTTGAAACTGTTTGTGAAATTGGTTTAATCTATACATTTCCCTCCCTCTTTAGCCCCATTCTTGTGTCATCCTAATCTGTGGATACGCTATGGTGCCGTTGGATTTATCACAGTGGTCGCCCACCAAATAAGTACAGCTGACGTCTACTGCAAACTGATGCCTTATCTTGACCCATACATTACTCAACCAGTAATACAGGTATAAGTTGGAATCAGTCCTCCTTTCAAACTGTGCCTCTTTAAAAAGGATGCTTAAAGAATCTTTGTTTTTTAATTCATAGATTTAAATGAGGCTGTAGCATTTTCATACTTCTTTCAGGCTCACTAATGAGCCAAGCACTTTGTAGGTGAGAAAAGTGCAAGAGAATATTGTAGCATACATAGTAGAGTGTGCAGTAGTTCATACTTTCTTTGTATAATACTGTACAGTATCTGCTGTTAAAGTGAAAAGTATGATTATAGTCCATCAACAGTTGTAATAAATTAGAAAAGTCTTTTCTCAAATGTTTGTTGTTTTTTATACTAACTAGTTCTCGTTTCCTTTTCTTTTTTCTTTTCCTCTCTTTTCCTCTCCTCTCTTTTCTCCTCTCTTCTCTTCCTCTTCGAGTGAACTCAGGACTTTGCATTTGCCAAGCAGGTGCGGTGCTGCAGAACTACATCACTAGCCTGAACGACTGTTTTCATTTATTTTTCAGTCCTGGAAATCAAACTCTGGACCTTGTGCTTGCCAGGCAGGTGCAGCACCACTGAGCTACATCACCAGCTCTCTTTTCCTTGTTTGTTAGACATTTAATGGTTTCCTTCCCCGCCCAGCAGTCTATATAGTATTGGGTCATAAATGTTAGGTCTATGGTTTGTGCAAATCAAATTTTATTTCCTCAGCTTGTCAGTGTATACTCATCATATTGCTAGACAAACAACTGTAAAATAGATATTTAAATTAAAGAAATTGTTGAAGGGTGCTTGTAGCTGTTAAGAATTCTGAAATGTCCTGTTTTTACTAAAGTGCCTTTCTAATTTGGAAATGCACATGGACCTCTGGCCTTCTCCTACATGAATATTTCAGTGTATCTTCCCTCTGATTGGAGAAGATAGCCTCAGATAAACTCGGAAGCTAGGATGTTTTGACTATGCTTTGCCTTCAGTTCTTTCTCACAGATTAATCTTATTTCTGGAGATCATCCTTCTTTCATAGAGTTTGTAGAATTTTTATTTACATTCCAACAGCAGTTTACATATACATGTAATAATAACCAGAAAAAAATGCCTTTTCATTCTTTGTTTTGTCTTTGTTTTTGCTACCGGGGATCAAACTCGGGACCTTGTGCTTGTGTTTGGGAGTCAAGCAGCAGAACCACTGAGCTAAATCCCTGGTCCCCAAATGCCTTTTCATTCTTAAAGTTTATGCTTTCTTGGAAATCAAGTGGAGTGATGCCTATTCTTTTTTATTATTTACCATATTTATGTTTATTAATCTTCTGCTTTCATTATTCTCTTCTATCTTGAAAAGCCAGAATCAGGCATTAATTAGATAGTTATCCATTTGTTTCATAAAGCTTATCTTTCTGCAGTTTGGATTGGAGAAGAGATATAACCTTTTATGCTAGTTTACACTGACCAGTTTAATACACCCAATGAAGTCCTCTTGGTTACTGTTAGTAATGCTCATCCTTTTTATTATATGTGTACTGACAAGGAAAGTATTTTTAGGGATAATAAAAGGAAGGATTTTGTGAAATCCATGGAGACAGTAATGATTTTTAGAAGATTGAATCTCTTGGGAAAATATGAGAAATGAAGGGAAGACCAATGCTTACTGAGAATCTTTGGATTAGCATCTATGTGTTAGATCTGTGAACTGCAGGTGTTTTTTATATCTAGGAAATATTCTGACATACTGGGATTTAGAAAAGGCCTTTTTTGACTTGTAGAGAATAAATGCCTATGTTAACTTTACACAGGTTCTATTTACTGAGTTTGAAAATAATTGTACTGTATATTACAGTTTTCCCTGATTCTTTTTATTTTTCTAACCTAGATTGAAAGAAAACTTGTTCTGCTGAGTGTTTTAAAAGAGCCAGTAAGTCGTTCTATATTTGATTATGCTTTGAGGTCTAAAGATATAACTAGCTTGTTCAGACATCTTCATCTGCGTCAGAAGAAACGAAACGGGTCTCTCCCTGACTGCCCTGCACCTGAGGATCCTGCCATAGCACAGCTTCTGAAGAAATTGCTCTCACAGGTTGTATCATTTTTCTGAAATCTTACATTTAAATGTAAATATCATAAAAAATTTGAAGCATCCATTTAGGTATTAAAAATATTTTTTGATGAGAATAATTATGCCATATGAAAATAGATCTGGGAGACCTTGTGCATTTGTTTTGATGTCTTAAGCAGAAATATTGGCAAGATGATAAGGCATTGGGTTGAACTAGAGTTGTGCAAGACTCATGAAGCTTTTGTGATTGCTGGCTAAATAATTGAGAGTAGAAATAACCTTAGCTTTAAATAATACTCTTGATTAAATTTTGTATTTCACCAAAATGTAATGAAAATTCAAGTAGAAGAAACATTTCAAAATATAGATACAAAATAGAATAATTGTTTCATTTCAGTCTAAATTGTAGAGTTCTCACTACATTCAAATAGCTTGGAATAGCTTGGATTTTAAAGCCCTGTTGGTTGAGTAAAACAGCAATCTCCTGTTGCATCTTAAAAATCTATGAATTTGGATTCATGAATCTTGTTAGAATTAGGAAATAATATTATTATTATAATATTTAGCATTGGTAAAGCCTCCATAGAAATATTGTCTATATTTGGTCTTCTGTTTTATGATGTGTAGGATCTAGAGAATCAAGATAGCTGCTGTATATGCTCATGAGCCACAGGGCAAATACTGAAGGACTTTAATGACTATCTTTAATTTTGCAGAGCATTTTTTGTATAAAGAGAATGCTTGTTAATCAGCTTTTGTCTATAAAGGAAAGAATATGAGAAAATGCTTTAAGTTTCAGAGGGAATTTTACAAGTTTTGAAATGTAAATCATTTCAAGTATTGTACTTGTTACTGAGTATCCAGTGTCCACCTCCCCAAATGGGGATTGAACACAGGGTTTTCTCATGCTGGGCACATGCTCTGTTGCTAATTTATATCTGCAGCCCTTTCAGTGCTGTTTGATGCCCAAACATTGGTGGTCTGGGTGATTGAACCACAAAACAGGCTATGGGAGGCTGGATAGCAACCATGTGGGGGGTTTTTTAGATCTAGATTTGCTTAGAGGTAGGATCTGCCTCTGAGTCTCCTCCAGGACAGGGGTTTTGTTTCCTACAATCTTGGAGATATAATTTGATACAACTTGAATTTCTGAAGTTTTTTCTTTGGTTTTCTTTTAACATTGACTTGTACATTAGTAGTTGATACTTTAGAAACAATTATGGAAAATTTAGATTCTGAATCACATTTTTGTTATCCTTATCAAAAAGATTTCAGCATGCACTGAAAATCATCCCAATCTAAATATTTTCTTGAGGCTTGGACATTTCATTTCTTTTGTATTTCTCTTTTTCAGCAAATCCTATAAATTAAATTAAAAATAAATGATTAAATAAATTACATTAAAATCCTCTATTCTGAAAAATTCTTTTTTAATTATAAATCATTAGTCCCTTTATGGAGCTGCCTTCTAGCCTCCAGTCCCTTCTTACTTTATTAAGGTATGGTTTTTGCCGTTGCAATGAGTAAATCAGGGGACCAGTAAGGAGCCTTACTGCTTCCTGCTGTCCTCTCAAGTGTTATTGATAGATAAATAAGGGAATAATTGAATTAGTTTTCTCTTCTCTTAATGTGGTTAATACATTTATTGATTTTCATATTTTATTTTATTTATTTATTATTTTGGTACCAGGGATCGAACTCAGGACCTTGTGTTTGTGAGGCAGGTGGTGGCACCACTGAGCTAAATCCCTGGCCCTGACTTTCATATTTTAAACTAAGCTTCTTTCCCTGTAGTTATTTGGGATAAATATAACTGTCATATTAATCCTCTGTATAAATATACTTTATTATATAGAATATATAAATATAAAATAGATATAGAAAGTATTTATGTAAAATTTTTTCATACATGTTGAGTTTAGTTTAATGGTACTTAGGTATCTTTGTATTTAGGTTCATCAACAATTTTTGTCTTTTCTTGGAATATTTGTTTCAGTTGTTTGTTGTTTTAGGGTTTTTTATTCATTCCTAACATTTTTTAATTGAGATGTAATTCATTTAAGATTTACTCTTTTAAAGTGTACAATTGAGTGACTTTTCATTATTCATAATGTGTATAACCATCATCACTATTAAATGCCCAGTTTTCATTACCCAGTAGAGAGACTTCATGCCCATTTGCAGTCTATCCCCTGTTCTCCCTTTGCTCTCAGTCCCTGACAGCCCCCTAGACATTTCATACGCACGGAATCATAAGTATATGGCCTTTTGTATCTGGCTGCTTTCTGTGCTCTATTAGTTTCAAGCTTCCTCTATGTTGTTAGATAAATCAATACTTCATTTTTTTTTAATGGTTCTACCTTTTGTGGACTAAAAGATAAACTAATAATAAGAGTAGGACTCTAGTACAGCTGTAAAATTGTCTAACTGAATTTTAGCAGACATGAAATTAAACCAAAAATCTCAAGGTAATGCTGGCAGAAATTTAGTCAAGGAATCTGCTATGATTATTATACTTTAAAGCAATCTTATTTTATGACTTTAATGTTCTACCTTCCTAGGATTGGTTTGTATCATACTGTGCAGTTAAATTGTAAATATCACTTTAAACTCTAATAGCTTTCTCAATGGAAGCCTCAAAGGACCTTCCATTTTATTAAATGAATGTCTTTTATTCATTTGCATCATAAAAATTTACTAGAGGAGTCTGGATGGACGAAGAGAATGCAAAACTGCCACATTTACCTGAATATTTAACTAGTATATTGCATTAATTTTTCAGATTAATTAGTATTTACTGTTTGTCAACTTCAGGTATTCTATGTGTCTTTGGTGGATTAATGCATTAAAATTTCACTATACTCTTACAAGATTGGGGTTAGTAATTATCTTCATTTGATAGATAAACAAATAGAGGTACAGAATAGTTGGGAAACTTGCCGAAGGTCATGCAGTAATGCAACTGGAATTTGAACCTTGACAGTCTGACCCTAGCCATGACCATCCATTGCTACTGGCTGTGTTGCATGCATTTATAGTTCAGTCAGGATGCCTGTGATTTTTTTGAGTGGTCTAAGTATTCTGTGTATTAGAATGCTTTACATAGGTCTCATTTAATATTCTCAACCCAACCAGGAGCAAGATAATTCTAATTTGCTTAATATTTACAATTTTTTTTAGATACTAAATGCTTATTTCACAGTTTTATATTAAAGGTTTACTTGATATCAGTCGTTGTGATAGGTTCCTTGGAAATTATCAAAGATGAATTATATTAGATTGCTGCTGTTTAGGAAGGAAATTAATGTAAAAGTCATGAAATAAAAGAGAAAATGCCCTAATAGAATATTCTGAAAGATCCTAGTATTGACATGTTGTTTTCTCTTCTGTGTGCTTGTTTTGTTTCATCACTCTGATTTTTACAATTTTCAGTTGGGTGGTTGAATCTTTATTTGACAGTCATTCTGAGGGCTGCTGTTACTTTTGAAAATAACCTATAAAAGATGTGGTTTTATTTGGTTTAGGGAATGACAGAGGAAGAGGAAGACAAACTTCTGGCACTAAAAGACTTCATGATAAAATCCAATAGAGCAAAAGCAAATATAGTAGATCAGAGCCATCTTCATGACAGTAGTCAGAAGGGTGTAATTGACTTGGCAGCCCTGGGCATAACTGGGAGACAAGTTGATCTTGTTAAAACCAAACAAGAACCAGATGACAAACGAGGTTAGTAATTTGATTGGGTTTTTATCTTGTCATTACATATTTTCAAAGACTGGATTTTAGCCAATAATAAAACAAAAAACATATAACAATAAAATAGAAGCCCTATTTTCCAAATAGAAAACTTGCAAATACAGTGACTGTATTACTTAACAGGAAGATGTAAGGGAGGAAAGATGGGGCAGTGAACTCTCAGTTAGGAGATTAAGTATCCTGCCCAAATTGTATAGCTTTTGTGTCTCAAACCAAACCTGACTGCAGAGCTCTAATAGTCATGTTGCCTGTGGGAAGTAAATGGTTGAAGATGGAATCTATTTTTCAATACTTTAACCACCTGTTCAACTCAGTAGTATGTAAAACTTAGTAGTAATAGTTTACACTCATAATGTGTAACAGACACATTAGAAAAAAAGCACCGTAAATGAAAGAGGGTGTAGACCAACTGGTAGAATAGAAACGCATATATAAATAAATGCAAATTAAAATAATGAGATGCCATTTTCTTCCTGTGTGATTAGTATAGACTGATACCTAATGTTGGCAAAGTTGTAGGGAAATAAGCATTTTTATACACTCTGGTATGAGATTGTAAGTTGCACACGTTCTTATTAGAAGGCATTTTGACATGAGCTGTACTTTAGTATTTGATCCTTTTTTTTTTTCAAAGAGCAAAGTTTATTTGAAAAAATAAAAGTGAAAAATGATAGAGAAACTGGTTGTGTAGAGCAAGCTTGGACCAAGTAAAAGGAAAAAAAACAAGATAAAAGTACACCCTAAAGGATACAGGGCAGTCTATTGTGAGGAAAGCCTCACTGTTTCAAGTTTCAAAAATGTGTCCTAAGAAACGACAGGCATAGAAGAAAGGTGTATGAATGTTTTTGATGGAGGAAAAAGGAAATACTCTAAATACCCATTAATAAAGAAATGGAAGTAAATGTTGGAGGTGTTTAGTTAAGAAAAGGCAAATTGTCAAACAGTATATTCTGGTTTTACAAAGTAATTTGATAGTATATCATTAAACTATAAGTTTTACAAGATTTACCAAGTTGAGTATCAGAATTATGGAGTAATTCACATAGTTTGGTAATGCTAGAACTTTGCATTACTTAATATCTTTTTATAATTCAGTGAAGATAAAAATAAAGGGTTTCTTAAGTGTCTGTAGACAGGATGTAGCTATATAGCAGTTGATTTTTTTTTAACTTTTCCATTTTTTTGTTTGGTTTTTGTTTCCCCAATAATTACTGGGAATACAAAGGTCATATTTAGCGGTGTTTTCAGTAACAAATGAAAAAGGTTTTATTATTCTTCACATAGACTGGTTAACTGAAATTACTCTACCTAGCTTCAGGAAACTAATAATTAAGACTAATTATTCACACCATTAAAAGTTCTTCTTTCCATCTGCCCTAGAGATGAAGTGTGAGAGTTAATGACTTAATGCATACTTCTTTTTTTTTTCCCCTCAGTGAGTTTATTGGTACATTTTGGGCATACAGTATAGTTACATTCATTGTTGGGATCTTGTACCTCTACATGACAGGTCTTGGTTCTCATATTTTCCCCTTGTCCCTGCCCTCCCTTCACCTCCTCCTCCCCTCCCCATTTACAAACATTTTATTTCCATTTTTTCATTTTCTCCTATTTTTTTCCTTTCCCTTATTACCTTTCCCCTACCCTTCCCACTTTCTCTACACCTTTAGCCCTTTTCTTACTATTTCACATTGTCAATTATCTCATTAGGATCTTATGTACTATATTATAGTTTATTCACACCAGAGAAACTATTCAGTATTTACACATGTGTGACTTATTTATTTCACTAAAAAAAAAAAAAAAAAAAAAGCAAAGGCACCATTGGTTTTAAAGGTTTTAATCTTACAACCTTCAGGCTAACTATTCTGAATATATTTTTATAGCTAGAAAACATATAAAACAAGACTCCAATGTAAATGAAGAATGGAAGAGCATGTTTGGGTCACTGGAACCGTCCAGCATCCCACAGGCCTTGCCTAAAGGAAGTGACCAGGAGGTGATTCAGACTGGGAAGCCTACTCGTTCTGAGTCCTCTGCTGGCATTTGTGTTCCTTTGTCAACTTCTCCGCAGGTACTGTTTCTGAGGCAGTATAGTCCTCTTTATGTCTTTGAATTCTGTTCTGCTCTTTTGGATATTTAAGGGCTGTGTACTGTACTAGAAAAATCAATTGGTGGCTTGTCCTTTTGAGAGGACTTATTTCTTTCTAAGACAGGTTAACTTTTATAGCCAGTATCTAAGGGAAATCAAGTTATTGAAAGCACCAAAAAGGTTCCAACAAAGTGATGTGAAATTATAAGTGGAAGACAGCATTATGAACTATGATTATAATCAGACTGCAGAGAACTTTTTAAATCTTTTTGTAAAATTCCTCCTTTAATATAGCACAGTAGCAAAAATACTTCTGGGAAGAATAAAGTTTGCTCTGTGTGATAAATATCATGATAATTTTGATATATTTGAAATGAGTTTATAGTTTGAGGTAACTCTTCTATAGCCAGTCGTATTTTAAATGAAAAATATTAAATGAACCAGACTGAAAAATCAAAGTTCTGTTTCTTCTTTTCAGTTAGATTACTGAGGGTTTTTGTTCAGTATCATTATTAATTTGATTTATTTGAGATAGTATCTTGATATATATATATATATATATATATATATTTCAGGCTGGCCTCAAATCCTCTTACCTCAGCCCTCCAGAGAGCTTGGGATTATAGGTGTGCTCCACCGTGCCTGGCGTTTTAAGTGAATTTAAAAATTGGTTCATTATTAAGGACAAAAACTGGTTCAAACCAGACAGAACATGGGTACATTTTTATCTTCAAATATACTTTACTTATGACATAACCACCTAAAATCTATTTATTTTTGCAGGTTTCAGAAGTAACTAATGTCCAAAATAAAAAACCAGTAATACAAGTTTTAAGTAGCACAGTTTTACCATCTGCTTACCAAATTCGGATCACCACTTGTAAAACTGAACTTCAGCAACTCATACAGCAAAAGCGGGAGCAGTGCAATGCTGAGAGGATGGCTAAGCAGATGATGGAAAATGCCGAATGGGAGAGTAAGCCACCACCACCTGGTAAAAGTCCATCCATCACTAGTTGTGTTCCAGCCTGTGTGCCCAAGCACAGCATCCAGTGGGGGAACCTATAAAGGCTGAGCATTCCTAATCTTGAAATCCAAACTTTTAAACTTAATGATTTAGGAGCACTTCTGAGTATATATTTTCTGTTAAGGATATTCACAAAAAACTCTAAAATCTGAAACACTTCTGGTCACAAGCATTTTACATAAGGATATTCAACCTGTGCTTTACTAGATAAGGGGAATCACAAGAACTATCACCTGAGAAACCCAGAGAAAGAAGCAGTTTAAAAAATCTTGTCATATTTGTGGGGTTGGTTTTTTAGGTGTGGGTGCAGCTTGCAGTGCCATATTTAGCCCAGTCACTTAGTAATGTAGCCTGTCTGTCCTCATATTCCCATTTGGAGCAGCAGGTTTTAGCAGTGCATTGTAATGCTGCTTTCATTGAAGGTCCAGCTTGTTCAACTGTTTTCATTTTCTGGAAAGTTTACCATTAAATGTATTAATATTAATGAGCAGGTAGAATGTTTAGAGAATGCTAGGTTCTTTAAAAAATATAACAAAACCCTTATAGCTCCACCATTTAGTGATTGATCAACCTTAAGATTTTGTGGAAACATTTCCTATATAGTCTAAAGAGTTTCAAAAGAAATTAGAGATAGTTCAAGGGAAAGTGTGTTTGCTTCAGCAGCGCATATACTAAAAAAGGAAAGTATAGCTCACTTCATTGTAATGTCATAGAGCTAATCGTGAATACTAGATTTGTAGTTTTTTAAAAAATTAATGAGCTTCATTTAGATTTTAGTAATAGAAATTTAATTTGAAAATACTAAGGCAATGTGCAGTATATTTGTGTATAGACTTTAAAACACTGTGTGAATTTCTTTGGCTTTTTGATGACGCAGGGAAAACACTGGTATGAGGTTAGTGATTTAAAGATTTAGAAAATATTTTTAAGTTGTGAGCAGCATCTCTAGACATATAAATTATCAAAATAAATATCCTGGAATTTTTCAGGTGTTTCTGTGATAGAAGTCAGTATTAATTTACCAGGTCTGTTTAAAAACTAGAAATATAAGACCAAAAACTATCTACTTTTGTGGTAGAATCTGTCTTTATAAATGACATTTTATACTTGTGGATTTAAGTTATACATTTTATTCAGTAATCAGAAAAGCTGCCAAATTTTGTGAGTTAAGAAATATGCAGTGACAGTTGAGTTCTTTATTTTATTCTTTCCACATTTGAATAATTGTGAGAAATTGATTTTCTCTGTGGAAATGTTCTGTTTAGCTTGGTATATTATCTAGACTTCATGACAAAATTTTTTAATCCCTTTCAAATTTAGCTCAGCCTCCTAAAAATCACATTCAGCTGTTGTACCCCATACAAGTGGCCTAGAGATTCAAGGGTAAACATTTTGTTTTTATCTTAGAGTATATCAGGTATGGTAATAGTCTTGGTTTCATTTTTGTTTCTTGGTAAAAAGAAATCATTTCTAAAATGACACCTTTAGGGGCCGGGGATTTAGTTCAGTGGTTCGGTGGCCTGCCTTGCAAGCGCAAACCCGCGAGTTCTTTCCACATTTGAATAATTGTGAGAAATTGATTTTCTCTGTGGAAATGTTCTGTTTAGCTTGGTATATTATCTAGACTTCATGACAAAATTTTTTAATCCCTTTCAAATTTAGCTCAGCCTCCTAAAAATCACATTCAGCTGTTGTACCCCATACAAGTGGCCTAGAGATTCAAGGGTAAACATTTTGTTTTTATCTTAGAGTATATCAGGTATGGTAATAGTCTTGGTTTCATTTTTGTTTCTTGGTAAAAAGAAATCATTTCTAAAATGACACCTTTAGGGGCCGGGGATTTAGTTCAGTGGTTCGGTGGCCTGCCTTGCAAGCGCAAGGACCCGAGTTCAATCCCTGGTACCAAAAAATAAAAAATAAAATGACATTGTTATCACTGAATTAGGCACAGTGCTGTCATCTAGTACAGCATGATCTTTATTACCTTCTGTTGTATTTTCAAATCAAATAATTAAATATTACATTTTATACTTACTACAGAAAGATTATCCAAGATTGAAGACAATTATGATTTAGAATGGTTGAGACATTTCAGGACCTCAGGGAATTTATAATTTATTAGATGAAAAGAATCATACATAGAAAGGATATACATATTGGAATGTACATAGATGCTTACAGATATAAAGGTACTGGAAGATGTGTAAGCTGTCCAAAGTGGTAATTTTTAATACTATTTATACTAGCATGTTTACATCATATAATAACCAATTGCAGATAAAGAGGGAATCAGCCAACATTTGGGTGCTTACATTGGGCTAGAGAGAATGTTACACTCTCATATATTTGTTTAATCTATATTTTCATCCTTTGGGCTAAGTAATATACCCAGCATTTTTACATTTGAGGAAATTAAACCTCAAAGAGTTTAAATAAGTAGCCCAGTACCAGTTAAGATATGGTGGAAATGGGCTTTCGAGACTTTCATGCTCAGACTTTTGTTTATTCCCAGTTTACCTACGCTAGGATAATCATTACTCCATGCTACTCAATTAGTAGATGGTTAGGGTAGGAAGTGACTGCCTCGCCTTCTCAAATCGTGGAGAAAGGTGCCATGCAGAGTCTTTGGAAGCTCTGAGCAAATGCTTGTTATCTCAGTATCTTAGGTACTAATGCCTGTCAGGGTCCAGTAGACCACTACTAGCTAACAGCTGATACCTTTGAATTATTTAGTTCTCAAGCTAGTTGTTGGTGATTGTAGATGGAAAGTGAAGAGGAGGTTGTATTTACAAATTGTAGTTTAAGACATACCCCTTTCCTTTATCCTAGGGTGGCGTCCTAAAGGGCTACTAGTTGCACATCTTCATGAACACAAATCTGCTGTGAATCGAATTAGAGTCTCTGATGAACACTCACTTTTTGCAACATGTTCAAATGATGGCACAGTGAAAATCTGGAACAGCCAAAAGATGGAAGGGAAGACCACCACAACTAGGTAATATAGGATAAGAAATGGATCAGTTAAACATGCAAGTCAACAAATATCAATGGAGTGCTTTCTCTATAACTGCCACTATTTTAGGTGCCAGAGATATGGCAATACTAAATGGGAAAATTTCTTATTCTGTAGAACTTACCTTCTAGTGGAAAGTGAGAGACAATAAAAAAGGAGAAGTATAAATGACGTTGTGTTAGATGGTTAAAAAAGTTGTGGAACAAAATACAGAAGGAAAGAGAAATGGGAAGTACAGGTAGAGGTGGCATAGAAGGATTTTTAAACAATTGGCCAGACAGTACCTCCCAGAGAAAAATGATGTTTGAAAGACTTAATAAAAAATAATGGTAGGAGCCGTGTAGATGTATTGTGGGAGAGTATTCCAGACAGAAGAAATAGGAATTTCAAAAACCTTAAGGAAGACACATTTTCTACATATTTGAGGGATAGCAAACAAGACTTTAGGTGGAGCAGAGCAAGCCATGGGCAGAGAGGTAGGAGGGCCTAGAGACTGGACATCGCAGGCTGTTATAAAGGCCTTGGACATTTGTGAATGGAGCCTTTGAAGGGTTGTTAGTAGAGGAAAGATATGATCTACATTAGATGTACTCTGGTGTATTAGTTACTTTTCTCTCATACTGAAACAAAATACTGGACACCAAAAGTTGGAAGGGAAGGGGTTTATTTAGCTTACAGTTTGTAGAGGTTTCAGTCCATGACCAGCTGGCTCCAAGGCAGGCATGGCAAACAGGCGTGGAAAAGCAGAAACAACATGGCACACATGAGGCAGCAAAGGCAACTAGAGAGTTAAGAGTGTCTCTGCCCCTTTTAGCTTGTTCAGACTACTTAGGGCAGAGAGCACTCACCCTTAATCCTAGTGCCCTTGAGCCTAGCATTGCATCATCAGTTGAGTCCAGCTTCACACACTAGATCAATCCTATGACCACGTGAGGCTTTGGGGGAACATCGAGATCCAAACCATAACATCTGGCTTTTGTGTTGGAATGGACTATGAAGAGGGGGTAAGGCAAACAGTTAGGGGACTATTACAGTAATTAAAGGAAGAGGAGACGGTGGCAGAGGAACAGTAGTAACAGTGTAGATAAGGGGAAAGGCTTATATTTTGGAAATGTTTTAGTGTTAGAGCCAACAAGATTTGCTGACTAGATTAGCTGGAGTATGAGCAAAAAAAAAGTAAAAACTGATGACATGGCTGGCCGTGTCAGGAAAAGATTCCTTTCTGTATTTTAGATTTGTACAACTGTATACCGATGTCCCTGTCTGCTGATTTGCAGTCTGTCTCCAGCTCCCCCCACCCCCGTCTTATAGTTCAAATAACCATAGATTTGTTCTTTTCTGGTCTGAAAAGCTACTGGAAATCAAAATTGAATATCATCTACATTAAAGGATGTGGGAGTCTCTGATGCTTTTCTCATTGTTGGTTTATTGACTAATTAGGCAAAATATCAAACAAATATGTTTGATAAGTAAAATACTATTTGATAACTAAAAATAAAGTGGTACCTTGGTTCATAAACTTAATTTGTTTTATGGTTTTGGGGAAGATGGCCCCATTTGTGTATGTGTGGGGGAAGCTGGCCATAGTTAGGTTTGTCACCCAGCATAGAGTTTGTGCACTGAAGCAAAATTCTGTGGAATGCTTTTGAGAACTGAATTGTGAACAGAAGTGTTCATGAACTGAACTATTACTATAATTTAAGCCTCTTACCGGCCTGATAAGATTTTGTGCTAATTATGTATTTTTTTAAAGGGCTTTGTACTTTTATACTATGCTTAATTATTGTTTTCCTATTTGTTCTTTGCATTGCATTGATCAGAACAGAAATGCAAAAATCAATAAAAGAATTAGTCTAGCAATTTTTTACGTTAACATTTTATCATAGAACTTTCAAACCTATGAGGAAAGGTTGAAATGTCTTACAGTACATTCATATACTTTGTTTTGTTTTGGTTTTTGCTTTTTGTTGCAGGGAATTGAACCCAGAGCCTCATGAATGCTCAGCTTGCACACTGTTGCTGAGCTACACTTCCAGGCCCCATTTCATTGTGATTTTAGGAAAGGTGCAGATACCAGTACATCTAAAATTTTCACCATACATGTTGTTAACTAAGTCCCTTATTTATAGTTACCCTCCCCCCTTTTTTTACAGTACTGGGGGTTGAACCCAGGGACTTCACACTGGACTATATGTTCCTCACCCCTTTTAGTTTTATTTGGAAGAAGATCTTGCCAAGTATCTTGAGTTGCCCAGGCTAAGTTTGAACTTAGGATCCTTCTGCCTCAGCCTTACAGTGTCTTGGTGTAACCAGCTTTTCCCCTCTGGGTTCTTGTTCTGAGGCAGCAAAGAAGGACACAGCAGAACAGCAAGTAGTAGGGAACGGCCTGGGTGTGGTTTGTTAGAAAGAACAGAAAAAAGCCCTCACTATATGGAGGGGTGGGCAGGAAGACACCAAGGAAATGCCTGGGACTAGAGTTTTATATGGCATGCACAATAAAGGGGCAGAGGATGTACGAAACTGCAAGGCTGCTGCTTCTGCTGCGTGCCAGGCTTCCTGTTGTTATGGGTGGAACATAGGCACTGCCCTTTTCTGGAACATGCAACTTCTGGGTTTATGGGGCAGTAATAGAGTGATGTTAAAATGAGAACATACATACGTGTGTGTAGGTGTGTGTTTTACATATTAAATAAGAGTTCTTAGGTGGCTGCACCTTAGCTCCTTTACATTTTCTCAGAGGCGGGTGAGGAGGAAGCTGGTTTCCTTGGTCTTTTATGTTTCTGCTTCCTCCTTGCTTTCTTAACTTTCTGATAAATTTTTATATTAATTGTGTTACTTGGCACCTCTCTCTGTGCTGTTTGTCTCCTTTGTCTAAATGTTCTAACTGTAGAGTCTACCTGTAGCAGCAGAAGCTGCTTTTAGTAAGATTCCTTACTAATTTTTAATAAAGCCTATCTTTTCCCTGCCTAGAAGCTGCCTTTCCCTACACTGTCCCCAGTGGATTCATCAGTTCTTTGTTTTCTGTACTGTGCTCTTAATTTCCTTCGAGGTTTAACTCGTCTTGCCTTTAGTTTACTGCATTTATTTATTTAGGCCCTTGCACTTCATTGCTTTTTCCCCTGATTACCCTGGGATTACAGGCATGTGCCATAATGCCAAGCTATAGTTGTTTCCCTTTCTGACATAAAATGTATTATGTTATAAAATGCACAGATCTAGCTGGGTATGGTGGCACACTATCTGTAATCCCAGATTTGGGAAGCTGAGGCAGGAGGATTGCTGAGAATTCAAAGCCAGCCTGGGCTACCTAGTGAGTTCAGTACCATTCTGCATTGCATAGTGAGACACCATCACCAAAAAAAAAGAAAAAAAAAACACACAGGTCTTAAGTACACCATTTCATTTTCACAAATACATACATCTTTGTAACCTGAACCCCATTATGATATAGAATTAAACCACACCAGAATACTTCCTCATGTCTTTTCTGTTAAAGCCCTACTTCTACTTCTCCCTCCCTGTAATCATTCTTTCCCCCCTCACCATTATTAACATTTATTTAACATTTTAGACACCTTTGGTAATTATTTTCCAAATGGTTGTTTGTTGGTGTCATTAGTTACCTTCATTGTCCCTTTTATTTGTAGGATAAGTTTAATTAACGTGTCACTTTCTCAAATAAGAACTTGTAACTGTTTACTTTTCAGAAGCCCTTCTTATTTTCAATTTTTTTTAATGAGAGTCCAGCCTTCTGTATCCCAGTGTCACGTTTTAGATAGTGGTATCCTCAAAAGTTTGGCAGTTTTGTTGACTTCAGTCTTTGGAAAGTTTGTGTTGTGGTGGAGATTGGATTTCTCTGGAGACAGCTGCTCTCCTGCTTTGTTGTAATGCTTGTTCTCTTGTTTGTGGAGTGCAGTGGGCCTCGGTTTGGAGATGCTTCATCCAAGTTCCAGGTTGGAGAAGAGGCCAAGGGGAGGAGCAAGTAATTATTATTGTCTCAGCCAAGTGGGGAGCAGCTGATGGTTTGAAAGAATACCAAACCAATTTGTTTTCTTAGGAAACATTACTAGTACATTCTGATTATTAAGCTTTCCCCCTGTGCATTGTGTTGGCTGACCACTTAGTTCCCAGTCCTAACTTTCACATTTAATTATGACAGGTGATTTACACCACCTGGATCTTGGCTCTCCCCGTTTCTTATTTTAGTTAAACTTTCAGTTTGTCCTAGGAACTAAATTTTGAAATATTGTTGGTTTTCAAAATACATTGCAGAGATTTTTCAGAATATTTTCTTCTTGTATTCTAAATTAATTTTCCATGTCTTCTTGTGCTGTTTTTATTTCTGGCTCATTTAACTTCTTGATTTTGGGGAAGATTGATACATTTGGTCCTTGTTAAAATGGAAGTGATACTAAACATCTAAATGAGCCAGGATTGGTGGTGCATGCCTGTAATCCCAGCACTCTAGGAGGCTGAGGCAAGAGGATGACAAGTTTATGCCTAGCCTGAGCCGCTTAGCAAGACTAAACATCAAAGTGAATTTTTGTCAGAGTGGAAAGTTAAACCAATATAGAGTGTATACAAGAAAGTTGACAATGTTAAAGTTTCATACTTCGAGGTCACTGATAGCATTAGAAGTCAGAGTTTTTGAGTGGTATTGGCATAGGACAAATGTAACTCCCAACATTTTAGATGTCAGATGCGCCAAGTTTCAGGTCTCACCACATTGAGGAATGAAGTTGCAAACCAAAAAAAGGAAGTTAGAAGAATTTTATAGAGAATAAGGAGAAGGAGACAGCTCTTGGATTTCTGGTGGTGGCAGGTATGGCCCAAGTGGGTGACCACGGAGGTCCTTTGTCAGGGGTAATTTATATAGCAAAATCACAACGTGGGTGCAGTGTGGGTCAAACTACAATCAATCTGTAGGATTATAATGATAACTGCTTGGCTAATAGTGATCTAATAGGAAAATAAGTCATTTA